CTATTTAGACATATTTTACCAATTCATTCATTCATTTACAATTTAATTCTCATCAAGAAAATATATATCAGAAAAAAAATGACACTACATATTATGTATTCTATACTTATCTCAAATAATAGTCCTGAAACAATCTTTCAGGATTTTATCAGCTAAATCATCTATGTTGTACCATTTTTTTTATGAAAAGTACACCTCCTTCAGTATATACAGAGATATTTTTCTATTAAGAAGAAACAACAAATTGCACTGTCATCATTTCTATTGCATTTTCTTTTGCTCGTTCTTCATGTCCATGTTATGATGACGAAGCAGAATAAAGTAGAACATTACATGGCTTTTTTTTCTTTGATATAGATACCTAATGTTACACAGAATTCATTCTCATCCTTCTTTTATTCTCTAGAAAATCCCTATTCAAACAACATTAATGCCATCATACAAACTTACTTATTTCAATGGTCGTGGTCGTGCTGAAGTATCACGATTAATCTTTGCTGCTGCTGGTCAAAAATATGAAGATGTCCGATATGAATTCGATCAATGGCCAGCACATAAAGCTGAAATGCTATTGGGACAAATGCCTGTTCTTGAAGTCGATGGTGTTAAACTACCACAATCAGCTGCAATTGCCCGATTTCTTGCTAAACAATTTCATTTAGCTGGTAAAGACAACTTTGAACAAGCAAAAGTCGATGCAGCTGTTGACACAATCTATGACATATACAAAACATGGGCACCATCCCGTTTCGGAGAAGATCCAGTCAAAAAAGAAGCACTCTCAAAAAAATTCTTTGGTGAAGAACTACCAAAACAATTACAAAACCTTGAAACTCTTGGTAAATTATATGGTAATGGTGGTCATTTCTTTGTTGGTAATCAACTAACATGGGCTGATTTATTCTTTCATACTATTACAGAAACGCTTCTTGGAATAAACGCTGATTGTTTGAATAATTTTCCATGGTTAAAAGACAATCGTGCTGAAGTTGAAAAACAACCCAAAATCGCAGAATATCTTAAGAATCGACCTAGAACAGAATTATAGAGAGTCAGAATAAAACTGTTATATTTTGTAAGGTTCTTATAATACGTATATTCATATAATAAAATCTTCATAGACTTTTTGTTTATTCTCTACAATATTGCTATTTATGAAATATCTGAAAAATATTGCTGACGAGGGAAGTACCCGAAGTGATAAACGGCTTTGAAGCTGATATTCTGTCCATAAGTAGGGCCTGATAAGACTAGAAAAAGCCTAGGAGGATAAGGGCCCATAGGCCTTTCTTCCAGAGTTATGGTCATTTTAGTGATTTTTTCACATATGACAAGATATTCATAGGAAAATCCACTTATAGAGTTTGAGCCTGAAATTCTGTCCACATATGGGTCTTATGGCCCTTATCGTAGCCTAAAAGTTTTAGCCAAAACGAATGTTTCTTTCACGAAATACTAGGTACTTAAAAAAAAGCCGATTCATTTGATATATATGGAGCATAGAAGAGTTTTTTTGAAAGCTGAACGTTTCGTGAAAGAAACATTCGTTTTGGCTAAAACTTTTAGGCTACGATAAGGGCCATAAGACCCATATGTGGACAGAATTTCAGGCTCAAACTCTATAAGTGGATTTTCCTATGAATATCTTGTCATATGTGAAAAAATCACTAAAATGACCATAACTCTGGAAGAAAGGCCTATGGGCCCTTATCCTCCTAGGCTTTTTCTAGTCTTATCAGGCCCTACTTATGGACAGAATATCAGCTTCAAAGCCGTTTATCACTTCGGGTACTTCCCTCGTGAGTTCAATATACATACGGTAGGAATGCAATTTAAATGAAAATCTACTGATGAACTATAACAGAGTATGGTCTACAGTTTTCAATAAAAGTAATAGAATTAATTTAAAATAAAATAATTAGAAATACAGATCAATATCCTTGC